CTACTGAACTGTCTATCAGTTTACTGGACTTATAGAAGGAGCAATGAAGGAGAAATAAAGATAGTGTTGTAAAACTGACTTCTTCGTATCAATCTTCCACACAATGTGTGATGATTATTCACTTAGCCAAAATTACCATTTTAAAGTAAGGAACAGAAGGCACTGTCAGAGATGGATTTATCAGACAGCAAGGTGTTGAAATAAACAGCTGAATTGAATTGCAACAATTTACCAAGAGCATATTCCTCTACTTATTTTGGAGAGATTCTGAAATTAAATAACTGAAATGCCAATGAAGAAGCTGCAATTCCTCTTCAAAATCAGCTGCAATGCCAGAGACTAGGAAATGATCTCTATAATTTCCCTGTGGAGACCGCAGATGTTCACTTGGGAACCTCTGCTGGTGTAGGTTAAAATAACTCTTAAGCTATTCCAATCTGTGCTGTGGCCAGGGCTGGTGCCAAACAGGACAAAGAATCAGGGAGCCAAACCAGCTCCCTGATGACTTCCCCTGTCTTCCGACCTGTGCTAAGTGGATGTATGCTCATGACAGGAGTTCCATTTATACCTATTCCCATTTCTTACAGAGGTTTTGTACAATTCTTTTAATGTATAAACTCCCCTAGCTGGAATGCCTTTTACTTTAGCTAGAGTAGATAGGGAATGTTTATAGGGAACTCAACTTTTGCCACTGTATTTATGTTATCCACTTCAAAAGTATTGTGTGTTTAACTTTGCAGTTCAGATGTAAATTATTTTATGGTATTGGATCTGAGTTGTTGCTTTTGGAATAGTTTTCCTTTCCTGCTCTTCTTACTATTGGCCAGATGCAGAGAATGAAAAGCATTATGGGCCACTAGGAAAATCTATATGACCATGATGAGAGTATGAATCAGTGTGATGATAGGCAAGCATGCAGTCAACACTTCCAAACTTCCTTCTGGGCTCTTTCCCTGCCAACAAGCACTTCTTCAATCTTTCTTATATTGGGTAGCAGTCAATTTGCTTTACTTAAGATATCTATCTTGATCAGGTACTGCAAAAGTAAGACTGTTAATTCTATATTCAATGAAAAGAAAACAGAACAATCAATACCCAGCTCAAATTTCATTATTCCTAAACCTAATAGACTGCATTACCAGAGGAATAAGATTCATACATTTGCTCTGTGTGTACACACACACACACACACACACACACACACACACACACACACACACACACACACAGAGAAATTTAGGATAGGAAAGGAGCTGAGGGGTCATAATGTCCAAGCTGCTCGCACTGGCAACCACATATATAAAACATTCCATAAATTGAAAATGAAAACACTGGACTATATTGGGATTTAAAGTTACAATCTTCCATTACTAGACCTGTACCTGAGCTGAGCCCTGGAGCCTTGTGCCCTATATTATTTATCAGTATAAACGGGGTTTACAATGCCGGCTAAGCCAGTTAATGCTTTGGAAACTCAGGAGACTGTATTTGGTTCATCATCATTCATATTTATTAAAGAAGTCATTTTCTATTGCTGATAAGGAAACACAGAGGAACCATTTCTTGAAGCAATATTGGGAGTGTGGTTAAAGTCTAACTGGATGCTAGGGTGAGAGGCATCATGTAAAACATTAAAATAAATTCAGCCTGCTTCTCTCATTCTATCCATACATCTCCTGATGTCAGTGAGAACTTTGCATGCCCATTTGGGGCAGTATATGACCCTTCTTTGTTCAGGATGACCACTTGTACAGACAAACAAAATCAGTTTTCAGCCTCATTAGCCAACGTAAAATACACTAAAAGCAAGTGAAAACAACATATAAATTCTACAGCTCTTGTGCTGATCAGAAGGCCACAGAAGCATCATATTTCTCCAAATGATACAAATTGGCCCTGTGTAATTACTATTTCTCTGATCCATGCATTAGATTGAGACATTTGCTTCTGTAAATAAGTAATGCATAAAAACAATTAAGGGGATAATTTAGAAGCAGGATGCTTCAAGTCTTCAGTTCTTTTTCCATCAAGTGCTATCTATAAAATGCCCCATGATCATACATGTACTAAGACTGATTATGCAGGTGGATTGCGCAGGCATGTGGCAGCTGAAGGCTATTCCTGCCAATTAGCATACAGTCTGGCAAATAGACTAGGTTAAAAAAAGAACTATGAATGCCAGATACACCCCTTCACTGTGCCCTGTAACGACGAAGTGACACTACCGAGATGCCAGGGACTTATTCCAGAATTATATCCAGATACCTGACAGGATGCGACCTGTCTAGAAGAGGATGCAGTGACAAAAGCTCCCCCTTGAGGAAAGTCTCGGGGAGCGAGGAAACACCTGCTCGTGCTGCTGGAGAGCAGGTGGGAGACAGCGGGTGGCAGGGTGGGCGCCCTGCGGTTAGTATGCTCAGGGCAGAGAAGGGTTTGCAGGTGCCTCCCCCCCACCAGCAGCCCCGGACTTTGTCAGGGGCCCTTCCTACTTCTTGCCACTGCCCCTGTCAGTACCGTGCGGCTGCCTTCAGCTCCTCTTTGGCATCAGGTGCCAGCCATGCCTTGATTACAACCCGCAACTAGCAGTCCCTTCCCCTGGGCTCGCCGGGAGGTGTTGCTGTGGGCCGAGGCGCGGCGGTAGAGTCCGAGCCCCGCCGGGGAGCAGCCGGGCGGCGGCAGCACCACGGACAGCTCCGCGCAGGGCGGCCGGCCCGCCGCGAGCGCCTCCTCCCCGGCTGCAGGGCCCCTTCCCCTGCCTCACCGCGGGCTCGGGGCAGCACAGCCTGCCGGCCCCCTGCACCCTGCCGCCTCCGGGACACGAGGCGAGAGAAGTTCGCGCTCCCGCAGCGCCGCCTGCCTTCCCTCCCTCCCTCCCTCCCTCCCGCTTGCAACTGCTCAGTCGGGGGGCGGCTCCGCCCCGCCCCGCCCCGCCCCGCCGTAGGGGACAGCCGCGGTTACCGCCGAGCCGCGCGGGAGTGAGGCGAGCTG